TATTTTGTAATGTATCCCGTGCATTTCCCGTCCTGACAGTGGAGCCTCCACCGGAAGCAGCCTGACAGTGGAGGTCTGCAGCCAGGTGCTTTTGGAGAGAGGAACAAAAAACATTACGACAAATATTTTGTCTACAAAACCACCAGCGGAAGTTATGTATGAGAGCCAAGTGTGTTTTATTCTGCTCCAGCAGGTGGAGCTAGTGCACCTTTACGCTGATCACCGACCACCGGAAGAAGCAGAAACCGGAAGCTGCTAGCAGAGCTAGCTTGTTGTTCTGGTGTGTGAGGAGAATATTTGAGGCTCTGCAGTAAAAATGTCTTCACTTCAGTCTCTGGGAGCGTTGATCAGCTAAAGCGACTAACTGCTGCTGCTGCAGAAATCTTCTCACCAGGCTGTGAAAACTTTCTTCTCCTCCTCAACAACTTGGTGGAGTTCTTTCCAGAACCAGAGAAGATATTCTGCGGTCTTCGTGACAATCGGAGCTCCAGAATCAGGTTGTGGGTGAGAAAAGCTTTTCTCTAGACTTCCTGCCCTCTGGATCTGTAGCTGTTCCTTTCGCCAGAACCAAAGCGTTGGATCTTTAATCTCCTGCGTTGTTCTGAAGCAGCATCTTAATCAGCTCTCCTGCTTTGTTTCTATTGCAGCTGTTAGCTAAACACGGCTAAAGAAAACCTGCTACCACTTCAGGATCATCCATCAGCTGGGACTGATTCATCGTGTGTTCTTCACCACCTGGACCTGGACAGCATGGACACAGGTACTGGTGGATGAATGAATATATTGTCAGTCTATTGTAACCCTGGCGTCAGATTAAGTTACCACTTATTCAAATAATAATAATAAATAGGCCAGACTCTAGGTCCAACAGGATTACCTTACAAATTACCAGTGAGTAGGAAATGGAATAGCTGGATCCAAAGAATGAGCAAAAAAACACAGTTGCACTAGATTTGTAATTTTATATAGATATATGAAAATAGAACAAAAAATACAGCAGCTGCAATAGACATATAATTAAACAATTAGGCCTTTCCCCCTATATCAGTAAACCTAGTCAGGTTGAGCTCAAAGTCAGTCTTCTATTTGGTCGTAGTCTAGTCAAAAAGAAAGTCTCCTCGGTCTTGTAAAACTCAGGTTCAGTGGTCTGAGTGGTTACCACTGGAATGTTGGCTCAGTATAGAAGAATGATGTTCTCCTGATCGGGATTCAGTTCAGTTCGGGCACAGGCTCGCCATCTCCATCCGGAGAGAATCCAGGACTCCAATCCACTTCAGTCCCGTACCGAGCATAAAAACCTAGCCTGCACAACAATAATGCAATTATTGTTTACAGCTAAATAAAATTCTCATCTCTTATTCTCACAGCTATAGCTTTTACGATCTTTTCTTTCTTCGTCCTTCACATTACCATAGTAACAATTTACATGCATGTACATTTCTTTTCTCAAAATACATTTTGGCAATACATGAAACCGTTTTTAACTCACGTAACTAATAGTTTGAATCTTTTTTTTTTCCAGTTTTTAACCAGTTTTTTTAACAAGGATTATGATTAGCATGTAACCATAGAGTAATACAAAAATTACACAATAACAATATGATAATCAACAAAATTGACGTTTAAGATCCACAATATTCACATTCATTTGGAAAAATTAAACAAAAATAATTATTTGTTCCCTTCTGTTAGCAGAATTACCATTAACATCCATTAAAATGAACTCATGTGGCTAGCCAAAGTTAATTAGCTTTAGTTAGCAGGTTGCTAGCAGAGCTTAGCAAGCACATGGTGTTAACTCACCAAGATGAGGTATTAGCGTGCTTGAAGTGCCAGCACAGCCACCTGGTCTCTCTAGCGTGGGCTCCACACAACCCACTATAACACATAACCTAAATTAGCCGTCTAGAAAACTCAAATACTCTTAAACTTCTGTTCTGTATAGCGACTCACCCAATAAAAGGTATGTACAGCTCGACTCAATCCCCTGAAATATGGTTCAGTGCGGCTCCTGTGCAATCTTCCTCCAGCTCTCTAAAGAGCAAAAAACGGCGCCTGAGTCACTCACCTTGTAGGAAGGCGGGACTAACGCCACTCTCAACAAATGAGAGGGCAAGTTTAACTCGACGGGAGCGCCAACCGGAATCAGGAACGAACTAAGGAATTACACTTCCGTCTTTTCAAACTAAAAATATTTTCCTAAATTAAAGCATGGAAGTAAGCTGATACAACAAATAAAATAAAATTAAGGCGTTTTATCTACTGGGTTACATTATGGTGGGACATTACAGAGAAATTATGAGACTGAGGTTCAATCTTTAAAATAGTGATCTGTATATGTTTAGCACTACTTGTAGCGAACCCAGCCAGACAATGGTGAAGCGTACTGATGTTTCTCAAGGAATTTTTATTCATGTTCAGCTGGCATCCTTATTTTGAACATAAATCCACCTTTTCTTTCTTGAAACACCATAAGAGCTAAACAAAACAGATAAATGAAATTATAATGAGCTCTTACAAAGATGACCTTTATGCCATATAACCATTCACAATATTATTGAATCTACATTAATAGTAGGTTGAGTGAGATCAAAAATGTGCATAAACATGTTGAAAGCTAAAACCAATATTAAACACCAAGCATTTGAACCACACAAAGGCTAATATTAGCATGGGTGTTCACCTGGCTCTATGGTTGAGATGGCTGTTACCATTGTTCTGCATTTAACCACTTTAAACACAACAACATACATAGAAAATCACATCAAACCACATAAAACACATGCATCAAACAATACCTTGTTCCCAATTCCAGCTAGGCGCTTAATTGTCAAAAGGTAGGGTATAGAGGCCCAGTCCTGTCTGTTTGGTCTTACAGCATGCTGTCAGTTTCCAAGCAAAAGTCCATTGACCTTCTCTGCTCTCCCTTATTTCCTCTGCTGGTCCGCCAAAATAAAAGCATGCAGTATAAAACTATAAAATCAAATTAAAACCATGCACGGACAATCACTTATTTACAGAGCCTTTCCACAGTTACTTACACTACTGGGGTTCTAAAACCCCCCAAAACGTTTTACATCACAGTCATTCACTCGTTCACAGACTGTTGTAGAACCTTGAAGTTTTAGAGTGAATAGATCTCTCCAATGAATGATTTTTGAAGCCAAGTATAGTGGTCATGTGACTCATTTTGATCCAAAGAATTTTTTGTTCTGAGGGGAGTTAAAGTCCCAAAGTCATCGTCACACACTGGTGAAGTTACGTCCTGCATTTGACGCGTCCCCATGGGGAGCGGTGAGATTAAGCTGTGGGAACTATTTGGTCTTCTGTCGGGTTTCAGTCACTAGGAGAATCAGTCAGAGACAGGAGAGGTTTTCATCTTGTTCACAACCTACCTTTGTTGTAGCGTCAGTCATGTATCATCATTTGACCAATCACAGTCGGGGAGACAGTAGAGCTGAAATAACTAATCGATTTAATCGATTATAATCGATTATTAAAATAGACAACAACTTTTTTAGTCATCGATTAGTTGTTTAATAATCACATTTTACCGCATAAAGTCTATTTTTACCACAATGAGCCACTGATCTACCAGTGGAGCCGTAGAAGAAGAAACGAGCCAATAAGTGCCCTCGGTTTTCATGATGTAACACGTTACTGACGCGCATCTTGCTGTGAGAAATGGTGGAACAAGAAGAAATACGGAAGAAAAATAGAAGCGACAAAACTGCAGAGAAACCCCGGACAACAACCTCACGAGTATGGGAGCACTTCACTCTAGATGCCATGTTAAGACGGGTGACCTGCAAAATATGCAAAAACCATCTAGCATGGCATGGAAGCACGACGTCCCTAAGTGAACATTTGAGACGAAAACATGTGGGGGCTGACGCAGCAGGGGAGGAGCCAGCCCGGTAAGTAACAGAAAATAAACAATCTAAATATACTACACGCAGATAGTATATTTAGTGCCGGAGCCCTACGCAAGGACGGATAATAGCGTTGCGTGTCTCCGCACTGACGCAGACGGAGAAGCATAAATCAGGCTTTAGCTCCACGCAGTTCAGAGTAAGTATTGCAGCTCTGGTAGCCCACACTAGGGTTGGGCTGTTTTTCCATTTGCCCATCATTAGTCCAATAAATGATGATGGGCCGTGGTTTGTGCATGTGACTGATTAAGGTATGATTCAATGACAGATTTGCGAACACAGAAGAAGTCTAAAAATTGATTTTTTTTTGGATACACAGCACAAATTAGAATTTTCTTTTTGTTTAATTCATTCACTGCCATCCATTTCCTGATCAGAAAAGCTCTTCGCTGCCAGTGTTTTTCAGAGTTTTTACAGTTTTTTAAGAGTCACAGAATGTTGCTCTATGATGATGTCAACGCCAAAACTACCAAACCATAGCGGAGACTCACCTCTTACATCTGGAAGAATCCGCGCGCGCATTTTGTCGAATTGTGATCTGCAAAGCTTTTCCGTTTCTCGCCTCACTTTTTTTACAGCAGCGTCCCCAAACAATCTGCTAACACATGGATTTTCTGCTTCCTGATCATGTGACATGCGACGTATGCGGATGAAGATCGGTTTTAGAGCTGGGATGTTAGTTCTCAAGGTGCGGGGGCTTGTTCTGACGCCCATACAGTAAAAAAATTGACAGAGTTGTTAAAGTGCTGAAAGGAAGTAGGGCTGATACGAATCATCATATGGTTCAATTCATTAAGTTCCTCGATTCATTTTTTTACTGATTCGAAGCTTCGTTAAACGTGCGCTCCACAGTCTGAACACATTTTACTGGAGCTCTACGTGGTGATCTCGGTGCTGTGGCAGAAAAAAGAGAAACCAGCAACGACAGAAACCATTGCTAGAGGCAAAAAAGGTCCAACGTTTGGATCAAGAGCAGGGATTAAAGTTCTCTGTCGCGGCGACGGAAATCCGTCAGTTGGAATGATCAGAAAAACGTTCAGTCAAAATCTCTCTCTCTCTCCTGTTGCTAATTGAAATGCGCTTCGGTGTTGAAACCATCGACATAAATATATGGACAATGGGTTTCCATAGACTCCAATAACAAGTTTTTCTGCTAAAATGGGAGGTGGCCACAACCGCCATTTTGACCGTGTCACAGGTTCCGTCAAGCCCAGACAATTCCATAAAAGGGAAGAGAGGTGGAGCTGAGGGTGGGGCTGTAAGGCTGGGATCGACTGACGACACCCGGTCGAAGTAGCTACAAGCTAACCTGAAGCTAACCCAAAGCTAATGCGGAGGTAGGAGCTAAGCTAACAGAGGTAGCAACCTAGCTACAACCGGAGTTAACTGTGCACAACACCAGAGCTTCTGAGTCAGAGATACGCCGGGCTGACCGCTGGGTAAAACTGGGTGGAACACAGAGGTCTCCGAGACCTCCACAAGCCGGCAGCCGCACAGCAGACTGGCGCCGCTGCGATCTGAGATGTGCAGAGCTGCCGCTGGGGAGAACCGGGTGGAAAGGTTTCCATCCCTGAGTTCCACAAGCCGGCAGCCCGCGCAGCACACAGAAGCCGCGATCAGACAGAGATGCGCCGAGCTGCGGGGACAAGTGGCGTATTTTGGCGGTTCTGGCTTGCCATAAGAACCAGCCGTCAGCCCGCGCAGCTAACAGAAGCCGCGATCAGACAGATGCGCCGAGCTGCTGGGAGAACCATCCGTCAGCCCGCTCGCAACAAACAGAAGCCGCGATCAGACAGAGATGGACCGCGCTGCGGGGAGGGGAGAAACGGGTGGAAAACATCGGTCTCCCGAGAGCTCCACAAGCCGATAGTCGGAACCCAGCTCCACCAACATGTTATATTTCAACCCATTTTCTAAAGTGCAGCATTATGTTAAATGCACTGGGTTTTACCCTATTACATTTAAATTTCATGGTTAAACAGTACATGTTAAAATCTAAGCTCAGCTCGACAGTGACCTAAAATACATAAATATAATTTTACTTACCGAAAAAAATGAAGTGGAGACTCCTTGGACGCTCTACTAGTGCAATTAATGCCACAGCAAGTCATTTTGTCCAACGATTGCACAAAAAATATCCAAACAAGAATACACAAACCAAGCCAGACCAAGGCTCTACTGAGGCCTTTCCACGGAGCTAGCTAAATATTGTGTGTGTGTGTGTGTGAGTGGGGGGGGGGATGACACGTCTCACCTTTATGTTAATATTGTTTTATTTGATGCACTCCACTCTGAACTGCACTAATCCAGCAACTGCTGCATTTTAATAACTAGTATTAAAGGTGAATACACCAATATTTGCACAAGAATAATTTTTGTTTTAAACTCTCAGTGACACACTTTATATGGGGGATTTGGCATTTAATTTTTCTTGGCGTCTGGAAAAACATCTCCTTCTGCCCCCCTTTATTTGACTTTCTGCCCCAAGATCATTACTGGGCTGGCCCTATTAAACACGTTCTACACCCCTGCTTAGTAGACTTAATGAAGTATTTTTAAGCCAGTATAAAAATGACTGAAACACAAATTTACATATTTGGCATTACTGACCAATACCTTTGATTTAATTTGTTTGTTAAGAACATCAAGATGCATTACAGCCGTTTTCAGCTCTGTCTTGTCAAATGCACCACGTACGTTATGAAAAAAGTAACTTTAAATATTAAACTGAAAAAGATGCGAGCTGAAGAAAACCTAGTGTATAAAAGGTTCCGAATTTCATATATTACCTTTGTTAAAATTTGTTGGTTTTATTTTGGTGGGAATTCAGGAAGTGACATGCCTTTATTTTGAAGAGCCTTTCACAGTGAGCTCACTTCCAGCGCTAGAACTTTCCCTTTTCTTTCCTTGACAAGCGTTCATTCTCCTGCAAGTCATGTTGATGTTGACAGCATTATGTTAATGCAAGAAAGTGAGTCACTTTACTTCATGTTTAAGACTGCATTATTAAGTTCCTCCGTTTAATTATGGAATATTAGTTGAGTATTGAATTACTGAAGTGTTTATGTCCAACACGTTTCTTTCCTTTTATAAAAAATATTTAAAGTTGGTTAGCCTTGATGTTAATGACATGAGGAGTTTTGTTATATTTCATTTCTGGTTCCACCTTATAATTGCTCTAGTGAGTAAAGGCTGACAGTGTCACATGAGTGAGTTATGGAGATCGTAGTTAGCCACAAGAGGGCGCTATTGTTTGAATTTCTCTGTTAGATTGTAAGTTGGTTAATTAAGATAAATGTGTTTTGCCTCATTCCCCCTTTCTGTATTGAATGAGAAGGTTAATTAGTAATTCATTTTAAGACATATGTGACATATGGTTAGTTCAGTACGGAGTGCTGGTATATTGGATAATTTTATATTCTGTAAGAGAATTTGCTGTCACTGGAATTGTCTCTTATCTTAATAATTATGTTTACTGTTTCAGACTGTTGTCAATGCTGTTAATGATTACCATCAACCAAGATTAAAGATTTGGATCTACAGCAAAGGATGCATCTAGCCTCTACCGGTATTCTAACAGATACACCATATTGATAGCCACCTCACCTGGAAAGAGCTAGCTTTAACCAAACCCTCCTTTACACCTAGGGAGTTCTGAAGAAACGTGAGCAACAGTGAAGCAAGCACAGAGAGATCCGTTACTGTGTGTGTGTGTGTGTGTGTGCGAGTGTGTGTGTGTGTGCGTACGTGAATGGGCTGGACGGACTGAGCTCCCGGCTGCAGTTTTGTGTGTAGGGAGGGGCGGGCGCTCTATGTGACTGGCCAATCACAGAGCGTGAAGACAATCAGTTACCCAATGAGGATTTTCCTTCAGCACGATTACAGATATTTACGAGTTTTACTCGTTTCATGCTCGTATTCGTCAAAAATGCTTTATCCGTACAGGATACTCGTCTGAAATGAGTTTCCGGCTCATCCCTAGCTGTAACCACCGTGCCCTGCCTCCTCCTCCTTGCTGCCTGCCGGCTGTGATCACAAGCAACAACAGAGTAGTTCCCGCTGCTTCTTCGGGACACAGCAAAAAAAAAAAAATCAATAAAACTTGGGATCTTGTAGGCGTGGCGCTGGGATTTCAGCCGTGGTGGGCCGCCACGGCTACGCCAATGTAAGGGAAACACTGTTTTTTACCTCAGAGAAATCTCAACGCCCACACTTTTAAACACTGTGTGTGTGAACGGGTTATTCCAAACGTTTCAGAAACAAGAATACTGACCTTAAAACCAATCAAAACCCGAATAGTGGCTGTGTGTAAACAATGTGAGCCCCCCCCCCACACACACACACACAATAATTTTAAGTCAGATGAGAATTTTTTGCTTCAATCCCTGATCTGTGTTTGTGTTTCCTACAGATGTTCCACAGCTGGTGCTGGTTAAAGAAGAAGCTCCTGAAGAACAGAGTGCTGGTGTGGACCAGCAGGACCCAGAACACCTCCACATAAAGGAGGAACAGGAGGAGCTCTGGACCAGTCTGGAGGGAGAGCATCTCTGTTTGAAGGAGGAGACTGAAGCTGTCGGGTTTCCTGTTACTGCTGTTTCTATAAAGAGTGAGGATGATGAAGAGAAACCTCTGGTCTCACAGCTTCATCAGCAGCAAATAGAAGACAGAGATGTTCCAACCAGCAGCTCAGCTGACCAGATGGCAGCAGAAACTGGTGGAGGAGCAGGAACTAGCAGGAACCCAGATCTGAACCCTCATGAACAAACATCTGATTCTTCAGAGACTGAAGTTAGTGGAGATGATGATGATGATGATGAAGATGGTGATGATGGTGATGATGATGGTGTGAATCTGGACTCTGAGCTGTCAGACTCTGGGTCTGAAACTGGAGATGAAGATGATGACTGGAATGAGAGCAGGTCTTCTGAGTCAGATGGTAAGTCTGTCAACAAGTTCTTCACAAGTGGTCTCTCCAGAGACACGTGAGGGAGACAAGTCATCCAGCAATAAGGTCTTCAGGCTGTTTGGTTCATAAGAAATGTGTTAGAGTGAAGCAACATGTAGACTCGTGCAGGAAAGTCCAGAAGAAACCTAAATCATTTAGTCATGATGAGTGTGGAGAAAGGTTTCTGCTCAGAGTTTATTTATAATAAAGATAAGACTGTCTGTGGGAGAGAGAGAGAGAGAGAGTGTGTGTGTGTGTGTGTGTGTGTGTGTGTGTGTGTGTGTGTGTGTGTGTGCTTTTAGACATAGAATAATACATTCAGTTAATAATAAACATAACATTTCCATAACATAATCCCTCCTGTTTATCCGAATAGGATAACCAAACAAAAAGAAAACAAGAACAAATAAAGTAATCAAAACCTTCAAAACCTCTCGATTCACTGCGCTTCTCTCTCCAGCTCCTCTGAGGCCCTGTCCACACGTAGCCGGGGATCTGCCAAAACGTAGATATTTTTCTACGTTTTGGCCTGTCATCCACACGAAAACTGATCTTTTAAAAACTCCGGCCAAAGTGAAGATCTGCTTTTTCTCCGTTTTGGGTGTCTGCGTGTGGACGGACAAAACCGGAGTTTTAAGGTCCGCAACGTCACTTTCCGCGACAAAAAAATGCTGACATCACGTGTGCGGCCTCTGTTTACACTAGCCGGCATCATGGAAGCCCTCAGAGCTGCGCTCGCTTTATCAATTGTCCAAGCACTTTTTGCTTGTTTGTTTTTGCAAGCGGAATTACTGCTCCTTGCGGAAGACCACAGACGAAGGACGAGGTTAAGAACGGGGGAAGTACTGCCGCCTACAGGTCTGGCATATCCTTAACAACGTATTTATCCGGGTACGTGTGGACAGAGTTTTTTTTTAAAACGAGGTGGTGTGGATGCAAGTTTTTGGAGGGGCGGATATTCGTTTTCAAAAAACCCCGGCTACGTGTGGACTAGGGCTCAGTTATCGCGTCAGACCCGTGCCACAACCCGTGCACGCGCATTGGGTCCACAGCGCGCGTGTGAATGGGACTCGCGAGCGAAAATATACATGGCGAGAGGTCATTTGTGCACTGAGAGGGAGCAAACTGTGTCTGTGAGTGCACAAGGATGTGTTCAAGTGACAAACCTGCGTGCGCGCGTTGCCAACGAGCACACGGCAGAGGAAAACGTGCGCGCGCGGCAGCCTCTCTGCGCGCTCGGCAGCCTCTGCGCGCTCGGTTTCTAATTCCGCTCGCTCGGCTGTGAGGAGTTTTGGCACTCTGGAGGCGTGGCCTGTGGCAGATCTTCCCTATCCTCTGATTGGTTAGTTTACTCCGCACTTTACTCTCTACCTATCTATATAAAAAAATCTGAAATTCAGCAGTTGCTGTCATAGCTCAGCTGGGAGAGCGGGTGACTCTCACTCTGGAGGATCCAGGTTCGAGTCCGGCCAAGGAGCATAGAGTTGATGTCATATTATTCTTTCCTAATTCCTGTGATATTATTTTACAGTTGTGACCGTTCAACTGTCATTAAACGTCCGAATGTTTGCTGGGCAGTGTTTTAAAAAGTGCACATAAGCTAGATGGTTTTAACCAGGTAAAAATAGACTTGTGGGTGTAGGTATGTTCAAGTTTAAAAAGTTCTTGCCTCATTAATGTATTGTTTATTTTTTTCAGCATTTAATTGACAAATTATCCTTTCAAATAATTAATTGATGAGTTACATAATTGTCCATTTAGAATTGTTGAATGGACTGAGTCAAGTTTGGTGCACTTTATATATTTCAAAACATGTTTTTTTTTATTATGCATATAAATAATTTTAATGTTAATTTATTGAAATATTTCTATTTTTTCATTACTTCACCCTTGTTTTGACAAAAACAAGACCTTGCTGGATAATATCACGGAGAAACTATTTGTTCACAGTACTTGGCTCAGTGAGGATCTGTATACCAAAGGAGGAGATGCTCAGAAATCTGTCTGCAGATTGTTACAACCCAGACTGGAAGTGGCGGGCTGTAATAAGAAAGGAGACCAAACAGAGGAGTGGGGGTTCAACAACTGATTTATTTAACCAAAGTAAGGATTTACTAAAGCAAGTTAGTGAACAGAAAATGGCCATCTCAAGGTTTTACTCGGATGTCCCTCAGCAGGGCTCAGCACTGTTGAAGGTCATCTGAATGAAAGCTTGATATGCAGCTTCTTTATGAAAGTGTGTAAATATACAGTGTGGTTGCCGTACATATGTTGAGTTTCTCAGACATCAGGCTTCTTTGCCCAGGCCTTCACTAGTGGGCTATTTTAAAAGTTGGTAAGGAGAAAAACCACAGCATATAGCTGATTGTTTACAAATGCAAGGAGGGGAATAACAATCAAAATCCTAGTGTTCTTGGACCAGATGAATGGAGCGCTCCACATGCACTCAGAGATGTTATGGCTTCTGTTTCTATAGCTTCACATGCAGACATTTGAGGTTTGCCAGAAAGAAAAGCTGGCCTGTACACTTTGCAGGGCACAATGTCATCAATGAAGAAACCCCTGTCTACCATGATGACCATCTCTAGTTGTAGCATTTTCAACACACCAGATTCCCAGGTTGGTCGCTGATCGTTCCAGCATACAGTGCTGAGACAAAGGTCACTGGCCTATGTGGCACAATCCAAATGAGCCTCTTCAGAGTGCAGTTGAACTTGAGGAAAATATATGACTCTGGAAGAGAGGGGAATATGGCCATTGACACCTCAGATCAGTGCAGTCAAGATTTACTGGTGTTTGGGTAGTCCTGAACGTGTTGTGATGCCCCCACCGTCTCATTGGGTTTTCATTTGTGTTTAATTGTGTTTTTCTTCTGTTGTAGGCAGCTCGTTAAGCAGCCTTGGAGGCACCTGGGCTCAGGGTGTGGTGCTGCCTACAAAGCCTACTGTTTTTCTGCTTTCACTGGGTCTCTCCTGTGTGGTGGAGAGTCCTCACTGGCCATTTTCTGTTCATTAACTTGCTTTAGTAAATCCTTACTTTGGTTAAATAAATCAGTTGTTGAACCCCCACTCCTCTGTTTGGTCTCCTTTCTTATTACAGCCCACCACTTCCAGTCTGGGTTGTAACAATCTGCAGACAGATTTCTGAGCATCTCCTCCTTTGGTATACAGATCCTCACTGAGCCATGTACTGTGAACAAATAGTTTCTCCGTGATATTATCCAGCAAGGTCTTGTTTTTGTCAAAACAAGGGTGAGGTAATGAAAAAATAGAAATATTTCAATAAATTAACATTAAAATTATTTATATGCATAATAAAAAAAAAACATGTTTTGAAATATATAAGTGCACCAAACTTGACTCAGTCCATTGAACAATTCTAAATGGACAATTATGTAACTCATCAATTAATTATTTGAAAGGATAATTTATCAATTAAATGCTGAAAAAAATAAACAATACATTAATGAGGCAAGAACTTTTTAAACTTGAACATACCTACACCCACAAGTCTATTTTTACCTGGTTAAAACCATCTAGCTTATGTGCACTTTTTAAAACACTGCCCAGCAAACATTCGGACGTTTAATGACAGTTGAACGGTCACAACTGTAAAATAATATCACAGGAATTAGGAAAGAATAATATGACATCAACTCTACGTTCCTTGGCCGGACTCAAACCTGGATCCTCCAGAGTGAGAGTCACCCGCTCTCCCAGCTGAGCTATGACAGCAACTGCTGAATCACAGATTTTTTTATATAGATAGGTAGAGAGTAAAGTGCGGGGTAAACTAACCAATCAGAGGACAGGGAAGATCTGCCACAGGCCACGCCTCCAGAGTGCCAAAACTCCTCACAGCCGAGCGAGCGGAATTAGAAACCGAGCGCGCAGAGGCTGCCGAGCGCGCAGAGAGGCTGCCGCGTGCGTAAGTTTTCCTCTGCCGTGTGCTCGTTGGCAACGCGCGCACGCAGGTTTGTCACTTGTGCACATCCTTGTGCGCTCACAGACACAGTTTGCTCCCTCTCAGTGCACAAATGACCTCTCGCCATGTATATTTTCGCTCGCGAGTCCCGTTCACACGCGCGGTGTGGACCCAATGCGCGTGCACGGGTTGTGGCACGGGTCTGGCGCCATACTCAGTCTGGCTTTTCAACTCTTTATGCAGACCTCTTAATCAGCTGATGTGCACCAGCTGCCCTGTGGGGAGCAGCAGCAGGCCAAAGGGTTCCAGATAATGGCTCCCTCTGGTGGGGGAACTTAGCTGGATAATGGGGTTCACCTCACAGGATGAACAGAGGGAGATAAACTGATCAGCCCAAATACAGGGGGCTGTAACATGAGTGTGAATTAGACTCATAAAATGTTTAAAAATATATGATGATCCCTAATCATTTTTGTCAGGCATATTTTTTCATTTCTCTGAGCAGAGACTGTCTAAACGTCATGGTAGAAAATAATTTGCATTTAGCAAAAAATCATGTTGATGAGTTTATTTTAATTATTCCAACAAGAAGTATGTAAATGCTAGAGCAGGTCACTACAAACCCCACAGACGGGAGGGGGGCATTGTAGTTGTCACCTTTTTCCACACCCCGAGTTTGCAGGTATGTTACCACCAGCGTAATTAGCAGTCTTACTGTATTTACGCTTATCCTTAGCCAGCAGTTTCAGGTAGGATTTAATGTCGCCCGCTCTGGCCCCAGGTAAACATTTGACTATGGTTGCTGGAGTCTCTGCCACGTTTCTGACTATGGAGCTGCCAATTACCAGAGTTGGGTTGTCAATGGGTGCATCACTGAGTGACCCCAGCAGGATCTAAAAAAATCCGGTCACAATCTATTTTTATCTGTCAACGTTTACTGCAGTTACGTTAATCACTTCAGACAAAAAGTTGGGTTGGGCATCGTTTGAATTTGAACGATTCCCCTGTTTCAATTCCAGTTCCTAACGATTCCTGATTCTTTCAAGGTCAAAAACATTACATTTTTC